TGAGGACCTATGGATACCCTCTTAGGATAGCCCTTGGGGACCTATGGGTACCCCCTAGGATAGCCTTGAGGTTCTATAAGTACCCCAGAAAATAGCCCCTGGAGATCTCTCCCTTAGAGTCTTATTTGAGCTTTAACCTTCGGCCTTTAACCCGGCACAGAGAAACAGACAGACAGACACTGAACAATATATATATAGATTAGTGCTGCAAAATGATTGCAAAATGCTTCGTATTAAACAGTTATTAAACAAGGAATTTCCGAAAGCCTGATTTTAGATCAATAGTGAACACGTACTTCAATAGCTATTCAAGACTTGACTAGGCGACAAGTATTTCAAAAAGTTAAGAGAGTTTGAATAACTATTTGGATATAGAAAACTATGAAAATTTAATTAATTAACAAGTATTAAAATGGCTATGAAAGCTTTAAATAGGAATGAAAGAGTTAAATAACTATGGAAGAATTAAATAGCTATGGGATGTTTAAATGGCTTTGACAAGTTGTATAGCTATGAGAATTTCGCTAGCTGTGCATGTTTCAAAGTGTTGTGCGTTAAGAAAAAGCGCATCCCACCTGTAAGTGAGCCGTAGCAACCATGAATAATAATAAAGGCACCACAAAATACTCTAACTGTCATTCGTTCTCTTCTTTTCTAAGTTGCATACATTTCATCGGCCGAATGAATAATTTCACCCACGTCAACATCTTGAACTTACCTACATAGCATGTTTTTTAGCAACGAAATTGCGTGATGCATTAAAAGTTTATGTTAATTTGTTTTCATGATCAAAATTGCAAATAAATTCGTATATACAGAAACCATAGATGTAGTCAGGAAAAAATCACAGCTTGTTGACAGTCATACACTATAAAAGAAAGAAATTGCAGTGATGAAACACATTTTACTTCTTAAATTACAAGTATCCTTGTTGGTTGCTGGTAGCCCATGTAAAAAGACTGCTTAAAATCAGATTGAAATCGATCATTTTCGATTATTAGTCTGTTACAATGGTACTATTTTAATATGATTTTAATCCGACTTTTCTGCCTTGCAGACAAATTTCATTTGATTTT